GTTCCAGGAATTGGTTTCACTTTCTTAAAAATTGGATCAAATTCCGTGTCAGCCTTTTTGTATTCTTCCGTAGAAACATAACAAAATGACATTTTTGTTTGAAGATCTTCTTTACGACTATTTGCCCAGTCGTACAGTTGTTTAGGGTTCGTTATAGGGTGCTCGTGTTGCTTAGCTAAACTTGCTCTGGTTGCCATTCTCTTAAGGGTACCGCCAATCGCATCACAAGGACCTTTGCCGTGTGAAGTTGCAAAAAAATGCCATTCCATTTCTTCATTATGCTTATCTTTAAATCCACAAAGGCTAGCAAAATTTTTTATGTTTTTGTATTGTGGTGCTGCTCTATCTAACATAAAAATACACTTTTGGACTGTTATTTGCGACTTTAAAAATTCTAATAATTTTGAGATAAACAACTGAACTGCTACTGTGTCATGCTTTGAAATTGATTTAGGTAGAGGTTTACAACACTTGAAATTGTTATCCATCATAAAAAACTACTTGCTTTTTAACTTGAAACGCTAAGAGAGATGAACTGAATGGAACAGGTGAAGAACTTGACTTAAATGAACTTTATTTCTTGTATTGTGTGGTTTACATGTATACCTTATCAAGTGACACAGATGCGTCTTTTCAGCTTTTGTTCCTTTTCAATTAAAATTATTATTAATTACAGTTCCTAGTCCTATCAGGCCTGTTTTAAGAATGACCACCTTTGTGGGATTGGTTTGTTTAAAATTTGAAAAAAGTAGACTACTTATAACTACTATTTACAACTACAACTTACTTACAACTACTATATACATGTTCTGATAAAATACATTTTTGTGCAAATTTAGTCTTAATTTCGTTAATTCGGGAATCTATTTTGGCAATGCCTGCCTCTTCATGTAAATTTGTTATTCTAGTGTCGAAAGGACGATCAAGAACCATCCTCAGCACTCTATTCTGAGTGATTTGGATTTTGTTCCTGTGAGTCTGTGCACATGATTCTCACACCGGAGCTGCATAGAGGATCGCAGGTGCTATGATTTGTTTGTAGACAGCCAGTTTGTTCACCCTTGAGAGGCGGGATCTGCGGCAAATCAGCGGATACAGAACAGGTGAAGAACGGCCCAATATATATATATGTAGCAGAATAATTACAATGTTGACATTATACCTATCTTCATTAGGTACAATTGATTATAGCAAACTTTTTTAAGTGTGAGTGTAAGAAGCCTCCACGGGGTGCCTTTTTATGTAGTTGTGATATCGCGGGATGAGCTCTTAAGGCACAATATGGTATACGTCAGAGAAGTACCTATAGAATTTATCTCAATTACAGGTTTAATAACATATTTGTTTACCTGTTTATGTTTTGAGCCTCTGTTATGACATACACAATTCTATCCAGGTATACAACTAATAGAGGACAGAAAAAAGGCACATGAGTGGGTTTGTTGATTATTTGGGTATATTTGAGAGTGTCTACTTATAAACTTGTTTCTTTTCTGCTGCGTCTAAATAGAAACGGGTAAGTCTGACAGCTACCATATTTGAGAATGAATTGTTTGTTTTTTTAATATATATTCATGGAAAAACATCTCGTTGCTGGACATCACGACTAACATTTGAAAATGGCCCAAAATGTAGAAAATTATTATAATTATTTTTTTAAATTGCATTAACTTGAGAACGGCTGGACTTAGGAAAAAAGTTTCTATATGCAAAGTTTTTGAAAATTATGCGTAAAATCCAAATAAATTACTATTTCACTAAAAAATATGCAATTTCACCAACTTGTAAAAACCAACAAAAATTTAAAAAATTATAGATTTTTTTTTAAGAAAGTTACCAGCATACACTCTTCACCAAATATTAGGGCATTTTTTCAGTTTCCTTGAAAAAAAAAAATTATAAAGATCGAAGGGGGGGTGTTTTGAGATAATCATCGTTTCACGTTTTTTAAATACTAATTTACTAAGTTTTTCTTTCAGTGTTTTTTTCCGCAAAGATAATTTAACTACCTAAAACTTCTTTTGATATGTCATTTTGATCAGATCAATAGTTTTCAAGTTATGATTTTTTGAAAAAAAAAAATCCATTTTTTTATACGCCCTTTTCAAAAGTTACTCTGGAGGAAAAAATCATATTTAAATGAAAAATGCAACCATTAGTAGCAGCGAACACGTGAGAAATGTTTCATTCAAATCGGAAACACTCATGACCAACCGGTTTGCGTTTTGGGCTGGAAATGCTCTTTAGTGAGCTGGATGGGCTTTATCCACTCAGCCAGATGAGCTGTTTTGCCCACCTCTACTCTCCATACGATATAAGCTATGAGATGTCTGAGTCTTAGCTCAAAATGCTCTTCAATCGACATTGAATTTTCCACAGAACTTCTTGACAATTCAAGCTGAACATTCCATTACGCCCTACGTAACATTGATCAATTCGTCGACTTTTTTGTGGGGCGACCCCGGCGTACTGGTTAACATCCATACCTCTCACGCCAAAGTCACGAGTTCAAATCTCAACCCCGAACAAGACACGAATGACCCAAGAGTGTTAAAGTGACTATAAAAAAAAAAAAAAAAAATTCGTCGACTTTCTCTTCCGTTATAACTTGAGCACATACTTTGACTATATGTTTAGTATTACTTCTGCGTGAAGTCAACGATTTACATAGTTGAAGATTCTAATTTCAAATAACAGACTAAATTGGTAATTTTATACGATAGATGGAGGAGATGAAAGTATAGAATTGATAGTTCCGTTAGAGTACGGCATTGGGAAAATTGCATATAGATAAGTAGATAGCGAGCTAGTACAACTTTTAAGGAAGGTACAAATCGGTTTTTTCATCTCTCTTTACCAAACTTCCCCCAAAGGGAACTATCAATTCTATACTTTCATCTCCTCCATCTATCGTATAAAAATTACCACTTTAGTCTGTTATTTGAAATTAGCACAGTTTTTTATCGAAATTCACGATGAATTAGAATTTCCGGCTATTTCCCAGATTTTCCCAATTTCCTAAATCACTGGTAACCCTGTAATATTAATCATTCTAAAATGAATATCAGCTATTTAGGTCCACTCTCCAAGCATAGCTGTCTAAAGGCGTAGCATAAATCCAGCTCAGATAGAAATAGGAATGAAGTTTCCCATTAACATACACCTACTTCTATGAATTAAAGCCACATTTTCTAAACACTATTCTGAAAAAAGCGATCATATTTTACTTAAAATGCTAGAAAAAACATTAACAAATAAAGTTCTAAATAGTAAGGGGGGGATTTGTGACAGAGTGAGGGGGATCATTTCGCCGAATGGGTCATTTCGCAGAAGAGCAAGCCATTTTCTTTGATTTTGAACTTTTCTCAAAGTTCCGTAAATTTTGAAATCAATCTCGAAAAAAAATTAAGAAGTTCGATTTTTTCAACCTCCAAGCTATTCAAATGTAATACTTCCTTCTTTTGAACATGAGCAGTTCTTTTGAGTTGTACTAATTCTGGAAATTTTAAATAATCAATGGTTTACATTTGAAGAATTTTTTTTTTCTTTTAAACATGAATAGTTCTTTCAAGTTGTGCTGATTTCAGAAATTTTTAAATAATCTAAATTTTTAATTTATATGGATGCTTCCTCCTTTTAAACATGAGCAGTTTTTTCGAGTTGTACCGATTTCAGAAATTTTTAAACGATCGATATTTTTGATTTATAGGAATGCATCCTTCTTTTAACATGAGCAGCTGTTTAGAGTTGTGCTGATTTCGGAAATTCTTAAATATTCAATGTTTTACATTTGTAGAAATGCTTCCTTCTGTTAAAACCAGTTCTTTCAATTTGTGCTGATTTAAGAAATTTTAAATAATCAATATTTTTATGTATAGGAATGCTTCCTTCTTTTAAACATGAGCAGTTCATTAGAGTTGAAGTCAGAGTCAGAAATGTGTTCCTTTTTTATCGAATACACTATTTAATATAAAATGTACAGCATAACCGATGCCAAATTATAAGATCGAAACATAAGTCGAAAACGTAGTGTATTTTCAATTCAAATCACATTGGTGTATTACATTTACTAAACATTACATGGAATCGAGTACAGTGATGTTAATTTACTCCAATATTATGCCTCTCGGATCAAAAACCGAGCCTTAAAGTGTCTTTCCCCCTTCTTATACGTAAGAAAAGTAAAATATCCAAAATTTAAATGAAATCGATTGTCTACGCCTCTGCAATGACGTGCTCATACCCAGCAAATACAGTTTTTATTTAAAAGACAACATTTACCAGTATACACTACCACCCCCCAAGTTATTTTGAGCCTAGATCAAGATCAAATCAAATTTATACAACCAAACCAAACATAACTAGCACGTGGTTATCGCAAATAATCACCTTGTTTCAAGATAAGTACAGTCCCACTCAAACTCTCAACACCCCGGTAGGACCGGATTTAATTAATTTTTAATCTGATCGATTTGTGCAAAGCAATATTGCGCGCTACCTATTGCTCCCGGATTACGTCCCACTAACTAGAGGGGTGACGTGGTTATTTGATAATCATCAACAAGTGCGTATGACTGTCTCTTTTTCTCGCCCTCCTTCTTTTCCCAAAGCCCAAGTACCTTTCATCCTCGCTCCAAAATTCCATCTTCAATTGCAACAGGTTAGCTATGAAAGATGATCTACTTCCTCCCCCAAACAGGACACCGGAGTCTGCTGGAAACGGAGGAGAAGATCTCGATTGCTTTTTCTCGAACTCCACTCGAATCGATCCGCGCCGCCTGCACCAGCACAATATTGTTCCTTCTCAATGGAGAAAATCGCGCACAATCGTGGAAAGTCTACTATGCTGACGGTGAATGACGACAACCGACGCCGTTATCATTGTGTTTCGCTTTATCCACCGTGGCTCGGAAAAACGGCGTGTCACAGAACAGGAAAAACTCTTCACGCGGGGGAAAAACTTGTATAAAAGCACAACGAGGAACCACAGCAGGCGACAGTCCAAAATCAACCCGGATTTCGAGTGGAAGTAACTAACCCGTCAGGTGCGTTTCAAAGATACAGTTAGGTGAATTGTTTCAAAGCAAATTTTAGCGGTGTTTAAGTGATATAGAAAGAAACAAAAAATAAGCAGTGTAGACCATATAAGTGGATCAGTAGTGCAAACAGTTTCCTTGACATATCGTTGCAGATTTTCTGTTGCAAGAAGTAAGTGACCACGTTTCTTTTCGTACGAAGCAATTGGGGTATTTTTACATGTCACTTTTGTGTAAGATGATGGTGCAATTACTATCGCCTCTGTAGTGTAATTAATTATGACAATAGTGTAGTTAATGAAGCGGGATGCAAAATTATGTGTTTTAGCAGAAAGCTTATAATGTATTTACATTAAATCACATAAGATTTTTTTCTAATATCATTAAACATACTCTAAAATGATCAAATATTATAAAAGTGAGATGATTAACTTACTCTTGAGGAATTGCATCGTTGATTGACACCTTTCTAAGGAATTATCATTTTTGTATTAGGATATGGACTGGCCCACATTTATATGGGGGTAATTTTTTGTCATTTTTTTTCAACGGGCCAACCCCTAGATTTGTGCCAATAGGTGAGAAAACCACTCTGAAATTTTCAGCTCATTTGGATGTAACACGAGCTGGCGTTTTTGATTTAAAATTTATATGGGGATATTGATTGAAATGTATGGAGAAGTAATATTCCTTCACTCTTTCGTGCATAGAACTGGTACAGCAAACTCGATTAAACTCAAAATTTCAGCATGTAGCTTAAATTATAAGGAACAACTTTGGTGAAGACAGTATCACGATTCAAGTTAGTATTGTGGATATATTAATTAATTATGTGCTTTCTGCTCGTATATTGCAACAAAATAAGGCAGCTTATGCAACGTATCAACTAGATTACCACTAAAAATAAAAGTTCATATTTTCCACAGGCCAACATCCAGACTCATGTTTTTTTGGTGCGATAACCACTATCTGAACGTTTCAGCTCTTTTTGACGTTACACAGGCTGGCACTTTTCGTTTAATGGTCATATAGGAGATTTGGTTGAAATTTTTTATATAACAAATGCTCATATATATTCAAAAGCGAATATCTCAATAAAACTCAATTCAATCTTAAGCAAAGTTGTTACTGACTAACTGAACTACAAGTTTTGAAAATCTGAATCAAATCGAGTATAAGTAAACTTTTTTATGATCGAAAGAGTGTAGAAGTGTTATTTTTTCATGTATATTATACAAATTCTTCATACAAAATTCAAACTAAAAGCACCAGCTCATCCTACAGCCAAATGAGCAAAAACTTTCAGAGAATGGGTTTCTCACCTTAAGGCATAAATTTAGAGGTTGCCCCGTGGAAAATTATAACTTTTATTTTTGAGGGCAGTCTCTTGTGTTATACTTGCTACTATATTCTCATGAAGTTCTTTACGAGTTCTAAGAATTTACAGCTTGGAGATATGCTCTACCTACCGGGAATCGATCTCGCCTTCTCCAGCATAGTGTTGCTTTATAAACGTGCATTCACCATCTAGGGCATAGATTTTAAGATCGTACTTCGACAAGTCTCTGCTAGTGCTACGTAGTTCTTCTCTAAAACTTTATATTTTATAAAGTGGAATAAAGACGGCAATCAGAAACAAGCTCAAGATGGTAAATTTAAAAAAAAATGGATCACCGAATTTTGTTACTGATTTACGATCATGTGAGATCTTCAAATTATTTCCAACTTGGTATTCTTGAAGATTTTGAAGCTTTGGAAATGTTCTAACGGATACAAATATATGTTTTTTTTTATATTTTATATTCTCTTGACAATTTCTTGAAGTCAGGAACCCCGAAAAATTGTCAATGTCCCGGAATAGTAAATATTGTTTCTAAATAATCTGTGATTTTTCATATTTCTCTAGGTCTGGAACCTTGTTATTTTTCATTTTAAATATGGTTTCAAAATAGTCTGTGATTTTTCATATTTTTCTAGGCATGGAACCCTGTTATTTTTTCATTTTCAAGAACTTCCACGATCTTGTAAACTAAGCCTTAAAATCTTAAAAATTGATCTTGGCCCAAGGTTTAACAAATTCACGTGTATAAAATGACTTCCACATCCACAACTTTGATCGACTCCTCGCAATTTTCTCAAGATCTCTCAATATTGAAATATTTCCCTATACTCTGATTTGTTTTAATGTTCTTAAGCACTTCACACTGTTTCAAAGTCCAGAATATAATAAATTTCAATTGATGTGTGTAGATTTTCAAAAGCTCAAACTTAAGTTAGAAATCTTTAAATTTTCCTGAATTTAAAAAAAAACTTGCCAAATTTTCCGAGACCAGAACATTGAAAAGATTTCTTAGCCGACGGTCTGGTAAATTTATCAGTTACCTAAATATTGAAATCAAAATCAGTTTCTAGGACCTAAGTGTTTCTAGGTTCAGAACACAAAAATTTGAAGTATCCCTGCCGATGTCAATGCAGCTGCCCAAACACTCTCACATATTTTGGCGTATGTCATTGAGCGACACGTTCCGAAAAAAAAGTTCCTAGACAAGGTAATCATCATCCTTGGCAAACAAGTGAACTCCGTATGTTAAAGTCTTCCAAAAGAGCCACCCTAAGAAAATACACCAAGTACCACACCCTACAACTCAAGGCCCAGTCGCCAATGTTATCGGCGTTATCAACGAGATGTTCAACGGAAGCTTCGATCTCACCCGGAAACTTTTTGGAATTATGTTAATGAGCAACGAAAGGAGTCTGGCCTTCCATCGACTATGGTACTGAACGGCGAAGAAGCTTCATCCCCTCAGGACAACCAACCAAGTTTGCGAGTGTATTCTCGGATGAGAACCTACCTGATGAGCAAGTTTCTCTAGCAGCCAGTAATGTCTGGTCAATCTTTGGCAGCTATCAACATCGACCTTGCTATGATAACTAGGGCGGCTTCGCAACTGAAGTCTTCATTTAAGCCTGGACCTGACAGAGTTCCTTCCGTCTTTCTCAAGCAACGCATCGATAGCCTGGTGGCTCCCCTCTGCCTTCTGTTCAAAATGTCCCTCTCCAGTAGGGTGTTTCCTTCCTGCTGGAAATCAGCTGAGATATTTCCAGTGCATAAGAAGGGATGCAAAAGAAGCATCGACAACTATCGCGGCATCACATCGTTGTGTGCCATATCATAACTGTTCGAGTTGTTCGTTAGGGAACCAGAACCATAGGGAACCAACCTTCTGTGTCTCACCTCGTACATTACGGAAAGTATGACATACCATATGCAAACAGATGTCATCTACACTGACCTATCAGCCGCCTTCGACAAGTTGAACCATCCTATAGCGATCGCCAAACTGGATAGGCTCGGTATAAACGGCAGTCTTCTATCTGATCATCAGTTGGAAGTTGCAATCGATGACTGCCGATCTCCTTCGTTCCCTGCCACTTCGGGTATTCCGCAAGGTAGCCACCTCGGACCGTTGATATTTCTTGTGTATTTCAACGACGTCAATTTCGTCCTCGGCGGTCCACGACTGTCGTTCGCAGACGACATGAAAATCTATCTCCGAATCCGAGCAATCGCTGACTGCCACCTTCTCCAACTCCGACTCAATGCTTTTGCTAATTGGTGCCAACTGAACCGCATGGTTGTAAATCCAACAAAATGGTCAGTAATCACGTTCTCACGGAAGAAACATCCAATTACATTCAGTTATATCCTAGAAGGCGTTGACGTACATCGTGTGAATCACATTAAGGTTCTGGGAGTCATCTTAGATTGTCAACTCACATACAGCCAGCATATCTCATACGTGATCGACAGGGCATCCAAAACGCTCGGCTTTATTTTCAGGATAGCTAAAAGTTTCACGGACATCTACTATTTGAAGTCGCTTTACTGCTCCCTCGTCCGGTCGGTGTTAGAATACTGCTGCTCTGTATGGAATCCCAATTACCAAAACAGTGTACAAAGAGTACCTAGAGTCTTTTCAACGACGATTCATCTGGTTTGCCCTTCGACGATTGCCTTGGAGGGATCCTCATCGCCTTCTAAGCTTCGTAAGTCGGTGCCAGTTAATTCACCTGGATCCTTTGTGGAGTCGAAGAGATACGACAAGGGCCCTGTTTGTGGCAGACATTCTACAGGGCAGAATCGATTGTCCTTCTATTCTACAACAAATCGACGTTAACGTTTAACCACGAGCACTCCATAACAACGCAATGATGAGGATACCTTTTCTTCGTATGGTGCTATCAATGGGCTACAAAGGGTTTTCAATCGTGTTGCTTCCTTATTTGATTTTCAAATTGGCACGCGAGACACTGCGTCAGAGATTCCGTGATATATTTTTAAGAATTAGGAATCAAGTTGGACTTCACGGCCTTTGTAGCTTGTTACTTCTTGACTATATTGTATTTCCTAGAATTGCTTAATCCATCATTAGGACTAAGCCCAGTCTGTTGATGTAGAACCAAATAAACAATCAAAATGGTACATGGATCTCTCTGAAAATGAATTTCAAAATGTTTAAAACTTTAGAAGCTTCGAAAAAAAAAAAAAGTAAAGGGTTGTGTCCTAGACACGACCGCAGTATGACGTAGAACCACACAAAATTGTTGTTTTTCATGCATTTTTGACTATTATACTATTATACTTTATCTTAAAATTTTCAAGTATTTCAATGTTTCGGTTATGGTTGACTCAAAACAATTTACACATTTTCTTTACAAATATCCATGTGAAATTTCATTTGACCACACATAAACAGAATCCACTCAGAAGTACACATGAAATTTACACGCAAATGAATAGTATGTGTGGTCACGCATGGTTTTTAAATGTACATATTTTAAGTAGGGGAAATTACGTATTCTCGGCAACCTAAGCAGCGACCTTCTTTCTATAGCCTTTTTCTCTGAGGAGCGCACACATATGCAGTATTGGTTTGTTTACAATCTTTTGCTGCCAGCTGCTCTATTATTATTATCTCTATTTAGGAGATTTTCAGCCGCAAGCTGGTTCATCTCCGGCTCGCCAGCTGCTCTAACAATTTCAGTCGAAAGAATTGTCAAAAACTGTTTTGAAACGCTTTTAAAAAGCTCCAATCTTCTCTAGTGAGAGCGAGTATTGTCGGCAACCAGTTTTTCTTCGGCAACCGTTCCATTTGAACTGCATGTAAATCT